GCAAGCTCAGACCTCAAACACAAAATTACAGATACTGCAGCAACAAAAAAATCCTGGCACTGAAACCATTCTTTGCATAGAAAAACATCTGTGTTAACTCACCATCAGCACTGCCTTGAACTCCTCTTGTCTCCTCTAAAATCCTGTACCTCTGTAGTGTGACATCCTTTCTCCCCTCTTTTGAGGGTATTTTAAATACATTTTTTGTATTTAAAAATGACAAAGCTCTTGGAGCTAAAACACATTGAAAATCATAAATATGGTCAGGGAACATTCTGCCTCCAAACACCAAGGACTGTCAGGCTGCACAAGGCTGATGCTCCTCCATTTCTGGATCTGAACATCACTGTGCACGATGAGTTAGACAAGCATAGACTTGCAGGAATTGAAAATGATTGTAGGTATGGCTCTTAAAAATATAAATGAAGAGAAACATGATGCTTCTCTCTTTCTTTCCATTTGAAAAACTGGATGTACTCCTAAATTGGTGGAAAAGAGTCTTTAAATAAAACAATCGTTTGTCTGCTTTGCCTCCAGAAGATGAGGACAGAACGATTTCCTAAATGCATCTTTATTAGATACAAGATCTATAAAGGCAGTCTGGGCTTATCTGGCAACCTTTATTTAGACTAAAAGGGAATAAAATAAATGAATAATTTAGGCAATAAAGATGAAGGCAAGTGCTTTCCATGTCCTGCTTGTACATATATCTCCTACTAGTGGAACTACTATGTTTCTAAGGATCCCTGCTAATACAATTGCATCATTCAGAGCAGTTAAAGAGAAGCAAGCTGGCTCTGAGAAGGGGCTTTTTTTGACCAGAGGTTCAGTAGAGGATGCTGCATCAGTAGGACACAGCCATTGTGAGGATGAAACAGCTTCCAAATACCCTCACACATGCTGAGATTGCAGGCTGAGCTGACAATGGCTCAGCAGCATCTTCAGGTGGTGCTCTCACTATAGGCAAGCCTAAATTACCAGTGGTAAATTCAGATTTCAAGAGATGAGGTTGTGACTGAAGTAATTCCTAAGTGTTTCCTCCTGCTGATTTTAAGGAACAGGTGTGGATGTACCAGAAATGCTTTGCTGCCCTCAGGCACAACCATCTGACTGAATAGGAGAAGCATAATTAAAAATAATGGACACTGAGATATGACCATTTAGCATCTCTATTAGGAAAGCTGTTTTGAAATGGAAACCTCACAAGAACACACTGCAAGGTACAAATGTTATTAAGTCTGAATCCAAGTCCCGTTTATTTTTACATCTTGGAATCAATTACTTTGATCCAGACATCTTATTAATGGCTTGTTTCTAAAGTGAATACCTATCCATGGTTGCAAATCATACACAAAATTATGGTTGGATATGGGCCATGAAGAGAGAAATGTCCATAACTCAGCCTCTTCCCTGCATCTACAAGTTTAATGCTTGTTTTTCAGTTTCTCTAAAACACCAGTGCTCCAGGTCTATTTTATTAATAAGTTATGTTCATATTATATGTATTTCAATGTCTTTCAAAACCACAGTGGAATTTTCTGAATTTTCTAATGATTAATTTTGCAGCCAGTTAAAGAAGCAACCCAATAACTTGGTCATTTCCAGTTGAAGCTGTAAGGGCTGAACTGCTCTGATTGTTCTTGCTGTCCAATTTCTGTAGCATCCCCAAGGTTTTTTCAAACTAGCATGGAGAATACAAAATCATTAAGACAGTCTTATTGATCAGGTGGCAATTTTCATTGTTATATGGAAGATTTCTTCAAGATAAATAAACTATATGAAAGCAATACTTTAAAAAGCACAGTTCTTTATGAGTGCCATAAATCAGTTTCTTTTCCCATATGTTTTTCAAAACAAGGTTGTCCTGGTTATCTCCAGTAGCTTTAAGAAGTAGGGGACACATACCCCAACAAAATAATTTATCTAAAATTAAATTCACGGTATGACTCAGGAATTTTTTCTTTTTCAGTAAGGAAATGGCAACTTTAGGTGGATTTTGTTGTATTTTTGTAAGTAAATTGGAGTTAAACAGAAGAGGCCATACTGAAAAGTTTGTTCCCACCATCTGTGTACATGATAGATTTCTGGTTTTGTCTACATGCTCCTCTTTTCATCCCTTTATTGACATTGGAATTCGTATGCATTTGGAAAACATTGATGTTCCTAAAGTGTTAATATTCAAATTTTATGGTTAGAAATAGAAGGCATAATTTTATTTAAAAGCAAAATCAAAGGTCTTATCTTGTGGAAAACTGCACAAATTCCATACATCAAAGCTGCTACAGACAATAGGCTTGATGACTCCAAGAATATAATTTCTGTGCAGAGCTGCACAGATGGAAACATCTCAAGGTCAGTGGTCTTGTAAGGAGAGTCCTGCTGCTCTGCACCAGGGTTTGGGATAATCCCTGGAGAAAGAGGAGCCAACTGTGGCAGAAATTATTCTCATTAATTTCCAGTCAAACATTGGAGCAAAATATTTGGGTTTTTCTCACCAAGGTAAAAGAAAAAGAATCTTTATGTGATTTGGTAAGTCAGTGGTGGCACAGCTTAAGGTCTAGTCCACCTTCAGAGAAAGCAAGTTAGGTGTTCTCCTACTAATTTATAAGGATAAAAAATGAATTCCCGGATACTGTGTTGAATTGATGGTAAAGATACTGAAGATTTCACATGAAATATTGTAAGGCTTGAGCACATTGGGAAAGGACAATGGATTGTGAACAACCTATTGCAGAGTTTTCATCAGAGGTATCTGTCCTGCCTGTTGTAGTCCCTGCCTGCTCATACAAGCCTAATCTTCTTTCCATTGACGACAACTGCTAAATTGAGCATTTCATAACGTTGGCCTGTTAATCTGATGCCTTCACAGGCAACACAAGTAATTCATCCTTGAAAACTAAAGAGCAGCGAAGCGCCGTTATCTGAAATCCACATGAATATTTTGGGGCGTATTATTAGGCTCCAGTTTCTCTTGAAACAGAGATAATAAACATCAAAATATGCAGAGAATTTTTTTTTTTAGCCTGTAAATACCCATCCAAATCCACAGCAAGCCCTAGAATATTGCATCTTTATAGTAAATTAATAACATTTCAGTCGGAATAAAACCAAACCTGCTTCTTGTACATACACTGGCAGGTGCATGGCAGTGCAGGTAACCTCAGCCAGGCCTGACAGGCAGCTGCCAGGCTCAAAAATAGTGCATTTCCTACAGATTTCATGAAAATAGGTCTCTGCACAGCATGATCCCACAGAGCAGGGATGTGCTGGCTGCACCTGGGGCAGCTCCATAAGCCTTTGCTGCAGTTTGGGAGCAGAATGTGAAACACAATGTGAAAGAGCCTTTTATTTTATAACTCCCAGCAGTACCTGTAGATCGCCCCTTAGCTTTGTTAGGTGCAGCATAAAGATTCTATTAAATGATGTTTTATGAACTGAGCATCTAAAAGCAGCTTGCTTTTGTTTTCAGCTCAGACCTGGCATGGGTAGTTCTGGGTAATTTTTGAGTGTCAGCTGTTCACAGAGGAAAATACACCAAAGTGCAAAAGCATTCTCAGGGTTACACCATGAGATTGATTGCCAAACCTGTCTTGAGGACTGAACTTGTTTAAGAGAGGCAGACAGCTCCCAACTATGTTATTTACTCCCAGCAGAGAACTTTCAGAGCCTGAGCCTTGTTCCAGTCAGAATATGATGAAAGATGAAATACTCTATAAGGAAATGCAATTAAAACAATCAGCCAATGAAACCAAAATCCTCCCAGCTATTCCTTCCTCTGGCTTTCCTTATACATCCTGTCTCTTTTCTGTTTTGGATAATTAAATTGAAAGCTCTTTGAAATGAGGAGCTGTCTATATTTTGTCTCTTATGTAATACCAAGATCACTGTTGGTACTTTAGAAAATACATTATTTTTTAGCATTTGTCTTTACTGCCTCTAATGGAGATATTTGACCCTGGATTTGTGTGAGAACCTTCCTAAGGATAAACAAAGAAACAACAGCATGAATTGACAGCACATAATATTTTTCCTGAGGGATTTTAATTGGTTGTGAACTAAGGAGGAGCCTAGGAAATCTCATATCTCATGCCAGTTTGGGCCTAATAATGCAAAACTGCACCCGAAAGTTAGACACAGCCAGGATGAGGTTGGCAGGTACCTTCTCCAGCCCTGGTACAGCTGCCCAGGGCAGTGGTGGAGCCTCCATCCCTGAAGGGATTTAAAAGCTGTGTGGATGTGGCACTTGGGGGTATGGGTCAGTGGTGGTGCTGGGTTAATGTTTGGACTCAATGATCTCAGAGAGCTTTTCCAAAATAAGGGTCCTGTGAACTGTGATAGCCTCACGATATTTTGGTGATTGATTAAAAATATATAGGTGGGATATATGGCACCTGCTTTTCTTTCTTCAAGGCTTTGCAGAATTTAGGGCTTAAAGAGATGCCCACTTATTTAAAAATTACTCTCTTTGTGCTTAGTCACCACCTCTGCCAAGCTCAGCTCTCCAGCCTCCCAGACCTCTGTAACAGATGCTATTGTGCAACAGGAGGGACTGTGATTGAAGTTCCCAGAACAGATTTTAATTAGAAACATAACTTCATACAGTAGCTTGGAATGAGTACAGGGAAAGGGGGAAAAAAAAAATCAAACTGAGTGTTGCAAAAGAAAATACCAAAAAGAAAAATAAAAGCTCATTTTAGTGGTGTTTTGTACTGAAAAGCACTTGATAGGGAATACTGTGCGTATCTGTGAAAAATTGAAGCACACAGCAAGCAGTAATAATTATCTGAGACCCTCAAAATGATGTAGATCTGCGTTGCCTCGTGGGTTTTCTGAGAGCTGCCATTTCTCATGGACCTTGGCACCACTGTGCTCCTTCATCCCGGTGAGGAGCCCAGCCAGCTCGGCGCTGCTGAAACCCAGAAACTTTGAACACTTGTTCGCCTGGTGTTGGGTTTTGTTTTTCTGCTTAATTAAAATTTAACCGATCTTTTGTTTTGTAGATTGCCCCCCACTTGGTCTAGAGACATTAAAAATTACTGACTTCCAGCTCCATGCCTCCACAGCGAAGCGCTACGGCCTGGGGGCCCACAGAGGAAGGCTCAATATTCAGGTAACATCCATTTTTCTCCTAAGTGGGAGAATGGCTTCAGGTTGTTCTGCTGTATAAAGAGAACCAGTGGATAGTTATTGGTTCTGACTGCTTTGTCAGCTCATGTAATTCAAATGAAGGGGAAACACTGGAATTACAGGAGTGAGTGAGGTTGATGGATAACCTTTAAATTCGTGGGCGAGTCAGAAAAATCTCCAAACTTACTGTGCAAATCCAAACAGACCTCTGTGAGCAAGCAAAGGTGGAAGCAGCTCCCTTCCCAGCTATAGAAAATCATCCCAGCTGCCTTAACAATCAGCCTGGAAGGAAGATCACACAGCAAGGTGCTTTTTTGCTTGTAGTTAATGACAATGCTTAATTGAAAGTGTGGTTTGAAGTGAAGTCCTTTCCCTAAGGCAGTTTTGCAGTGATTATGCTACCTAAAAATACTTCAGTTCAGAAGCCTCCAGCATACAATGTTGTTTAGTTTCTTTTATTTCATGTTAAAGATGTGTTTAGGTGTCTTGCAGGACCCAATTCCATTTTCCCATGTCTTATGTTTCTGTTTTCCACTTGATTAGTGCTGTTACTTGAATTGCAGTCTCTCCCAGACTAAAAATGTTATGTTGCATAATAAAGTACAGCATTAAAGTCATAAACAGGATATTAGCACCAAGCCAACAGTGAAAAATCTCTAAAGTTTATTTAATTTATTTGTTATCTCTTATTATTATACCTTCTGATTGATTTTTTTTTTCTCCAGCTGAAGGTGCTTGCTAGTTAGGGAACTAGGACTGGAACTAGGAGTGGCAGGAGGCCAGCACAGACATGGGAAGGGGCTTTTCCTTTCCCAGCCCCTGTGCAGGTACAGTGGGTTGTGTGCAGCGTGAGGTCTCACCTGCAGCCTTCATACTTAATGTCTTCTGAGATCCCAGTGAGGTAGTTTGCTTCTTTGCTTCATATTCTCTGCTAAAACTGAAACCCTCACAAACACAAAAATGATGTGCAGATGATATTCAGATGGATTCTAGAGGAATGCTTAGTTATTTTATTACAGTTTTGTTTATCTAGTGGCATGAGACCAAGGACTGTGGTGTAAACCTCTGAATTCCATGTTGGTTGTGGTTGCTTATTTTTCATGCTGGTGTTAAAGTTTAATTTATTTAAATACAAGGATGACCATACTTGTTTAGACCAGGGGTCCATCATCACCAGTAGCACTGCTTTAAAATAAATAGAGAAGTGGATGAGGTTTCCTGTAAATATTGTCCAGAGTCTGCAGCAGAAGCCAAGGGAAGCAAGCAGAAAAAAAAGAAAAAGGGCCACTTAGCTCTTCCTGAAAGCTCCCAGGGCTTGGATTAGACCAAATTTGATCCAAAGCTTTTACCCCTACTGAAAGCTTATCTGTACAATGTATATACAAGAATTCCCTAAACACTTGACCACTTAGGGTTACTACTATGGCTGGCAGTGTTAAAAGTATGGGGTTGTCTTTATTAAGATACTGTTTTCTTTGGGATCAGTTAAAAATGAACAGTGCTAAAACTTTTCAAGCCACTTAGAATGTGCAGATCCCTGTCACTGGGGTTTCAGTGACCCTGTCACTGGGCTTTCAGTGCCTAATTTTGCTTTGCATGAAGGCTCCTGATTTTCAGTCATATTTAAGGAGTATTTGCTTCTAACCAAGAGCAGGTTCTACAGGGGACTGATGTGTCAGATGGGTAATGAGGTCCCTGGTGATTTCTGTTTGCTGCTCAGAAGAAAAGGTTGCAGCATGCTGGGGAAAGGCAAAAGGCACTGGCATTCAGGCTACTGTGTTTTCATGCTGGTTAGCACTGCACATGGAGAAAAATCCTTGGCCCAAGTTGGAGAGACTCTTAGAGACTTGTGTGCTACTGAAATTCTCTGAACATCCGTGTGTATGGTGATGAGCAATTTTATGGGCTGATGCCCCTGTTCAATGATCTGGATTTCAACACAATATTCATGTGACTGTTGTGTTCCTCCCCAAAATAAGGCAAAATCCTCTCTCTGCTTGACCTCATCATCTGATGAGAAGTCAGCTGAGAAGCTCAGGGCTCTCCCCAGGTAACTGGCACTACCTCAGTTCACAGGGAATTTGCAGAATAATGAAGCTTCTGAAGGGTTTGTTTTGGTTTTTTTTTTCTGTTTAGATTATTTGAAGCATATGAAATGAAACAGTCCATGTGTGCTTTATTCCAAAGAAGAACAGGCTTAGCAGAATTGGATAAGACCTTCTAGGATCTGCTTCTTTTGTGCCCTTGCACTGTGTAGGACCTGATTTTGCTCCCAGTCCTGTATGAATATGGTGATTAAGCTGGGATTTCTCGTGGAAGGAGCAATGTGAGTAGAGACCCATATTTTGGAGATCTAGCCTGCAACTGCAACAGTGGCACAATCAGTAGTAATTTAACATAATCAGGAAAAATTATGGCATAAAATAATATTAATTGAGGTGCTCTGCCTTCAGGGATGAAAGTCATTAGTATTTGTCACTACTACAATAATTAACAGAGGTTAAAATCTGAAATAGTAAGTCAGACTATGTTTCTTTCCCTTCCTCATTTTCCTGATAGGAGAAATCCAAACAACACTGAAGATTAACCATGTAATGAAATCAATATGCAAACACAGGCATACATCTATAAGGGAGACCTTATATTACCTTCCAGTGCCTAAAGGGGTTCCAAGAGAGCTGGAGGGGGACTTGGAACAAGGGATGGAGGGACAGGACAAGAGGGAATGGCTTCCCACTGCCAGAGGGCAGGGGGAGATGGGATACTGGGAAGGAATCTTGGCTGTGGGAGTGGTGAGACCCTGGCACAGGTTGCCCAGAGAAGCTGTGGCTGCCCCATCCCTGGAAGTGTCCAAGGCCAGGTTGGGTGGGGCTTGGAGCAACCTGGGCTGGTGAAAGTTGTCCCTGCCCATGGCAAGGAATGGAAAGAGATGATCTTTAAGGTCCCTTCCAGCCCAAACCATTCTATGATTCTATGGTTGTCTTTCCAGTTCTTTGTTTCAGCAGTTCACTTTGAAAAACTCCATTATCAAAACACAAATAAAAGACAAAATTATTGAAGATCTCCTTTCAGCCTGTGTGCTTTACTTCTTCCCTAGTGGTAGTGGTTGCTATAAATACCTGTGATGAGCAATGCTTTTTTTTTTTTTCCCCTCCCAAACTTCCAATGGTAAAATAATTTTTGTGATCATCCTGCTGGGAATGGAGAAGAATCTGAGCAGAGGTGGTTTGATATTTGATATATTTTTACTGCTGCTCCAGCTGACTTGTGGCAGAAGACTGGTATTTCTTTCTTCATTTGAATAGATTTTGGCAGTAGTATCTATCTCCTCATTATAGAATAAGGCTTTTAGAACAGTGATAATGTGAGCAAGTGTTTATTCTGTCTTGCACATATATATAATTTGGAAGAGAAACATTAATTAAATTACAAAGTAATTATTTGTAAAGGAATTGTACCCTTCATCTCAGTTTCTGGGTACATAGTAACAGTTGATTTGGTTTAGCTGAATTACAGTTTTTAACTTTCACACTTCCAGATAACTTATTCCTGAGTGACAGGAAAAAAAGGTCTCCTTTCCTGTATCCAAAAGATATTTTTTCATAAGACACTGCATACTGAGAAATATTTTTGCATTTGGCTGCCGGTGAAATACAAACTGGGTTAGACTTTGTGTTATTCTTGAAAATTCAGTGAAGGAGAAAAGGGTTTGTTTAAGACCCAGCCCTTGCTTCCAGTTTTCATCAGCTCCTTCAGTCTCCTGTTTATGAAGATAATTAAAGTTGTCCATGTCATAACTTGAATCTATTCTTTCCAGTAATTCAATATAGATTTTTAAAATTCAAGTAAACATCTTATTGAGGAAAGGTATCTTGATCTATATAATTTGATAGAATATTTGATAATTGTTCCCATTGTTCAGGAGTGAACATTTTTTTTCTGAAGAAATGTAATAAGAATTCTAATTACAAAATATTTGATTGTGTTTATAAGTTTTTTTTTCATAGTTTTTTGAACCAGCCATAAGGCAAATTAAACACATTAAGAAAAAAAGACAGATTTGAAGCTTGAAAAAAGAAGTTGTACAATAAATTGGTGATTCTTTTCCTTTCCTTTGGGAACATTTCTGAAAAGAACCTCTCATTGATTAAACTTCTCTTTTTCAGGTAGTACTCTGTGTTAATCAGACATCTGCTTCTTTTTACCTAGTAAAACCTTTATTTTAGCTTCAAAGCAGCTGATGCCAGAAAATAAGCAAGTAGGAAGAAGTAGCAGAATGGTTCTCCCTTTCCTTCTCCCTTTGCTTCTCCCTTTCCTTCTCCCTTTCCTTCTCCCTTTCCTTCTCCCTTTCCTTCTCCCTTTCTTCCCTCTCCCCTATTTAAGGCCATAGTATTTTAAGTTGTGGATAACTAAGACTCCCCATATTGGATATACAACTTAAACTTGACTTTATTTAAATCCAGTTGAAACCCTGGAGACTTGAGTATGTAATTTAGGTGGGGTTTTTCTTTTAAATGAGCACTTTTTTCTTTCTTCTGCTTCCCTCTTCTCATTGTAATGTGGAGGAGAGGTCTATACCCTGATAAGCATCACACCAGTGGGAAATATCCTCAGATGAAACTCAGATTCCAACTGATGTGGGTACTTGGTCTGCAGAAACTGGTGGAATTTCACCAGTGTGAAAGGAATTAGCAGGATGCTGTTCAAGGTACTCTGTAGATCCTAACTCTTCCTGGCAAGCACTGGTTTTAAAGCCTAAGGCTGCTTCAAATTCCATCTTATTTTAGAACACACTGAAACCTTTTCTTCAAAAGGGTTATAACTCAGGTCAGTGATCAGATTTGTATCCTCATGTTTTCCTATTGTTCAGTTCCCCTTGAGAATTTACCTTCCATTGCTAATAGACTTTGTATCTCATACTTCAACTTTTATACAAAATTCACTTCAAAATATCAGAGCTAATGCATAGAAGTAGGTGGCTTAATTTTATTTTGGTAGAAGTAGGATAACAAATAATTTCTAAGCTGCCCTATCTCAGATTTGAATACCTGAGAAAACGAGAAGTTTTAGAAGTTGAATCCATGTCTGTGTTTTGCAGAATTTCCTTCAGATGCCACAAGGTTCACACTGGGAAAAGGGATTAACGGCTGTATCCTCTCTGAGTTAGACCCACCCATTGCCCATTTGGGTAGAAACAGTCTGTAAAACTCTTCAGTTTTATCTGGGAAATATTTAAGGATATCCATTCTTGGAATTGCATGGGTGGCAATGATAAATCCACATAAATCGCAGATGAAAAATCATAAAAATACATGTAGCCTCAGAGGACCATATGGCAAAGCTTCTTGCTCTTTATGCCAGTATCCAGCTTGGTGCAAATCATATCCTGGGCTTGAGAAAGAAAATAAATATCTGAAGACCTCAGATTCCATTTTTCATTAAATGCTATTTCAGATTTATTTGGAATACATCTTACCCAAAATACCTTCAGCTAATTCTTTGGAAATGCTGAGAAGGCTGTTTGTGAGGGGTTTGATGACATAAATTGGGATATAGATTGGTACTCAAGTTGGAGTACAGCTGGACATTCCTGAATTTTTAACCTTTGCCACCCTAGTGATGAAAATTAATAATTCTGGTGCTAAAAATTGGTGGGAAGTACTGTTTCCATACACCCTACACTCTCCTTTGCTGCTTCCCGGGGAAAGGAGATTGCCTAAACCCTGAATGTTATTTACATGGGTTGGAACTGGCTTTTTAGGACTATCAAAACTGAAGACCACGTGGATAGTTTGTTCTGGGTAAAGGCTCTGTCAGGACACAAGCACAGAGAGGTGAACAGACTGAAGCTCAGGACACTCTATCTGACTGAAACTTATATGTGAGGGTTCTTAGTTTTTAAAGGGACTTTACAGAATTTCCCTCCCCGCTTTGAGTAAGGAAATATTTTCGTGATAACCATCTCAAGGGTCTTAAACTGGCACCAAAGGAGTGAGTGGGATGAAAGATTACTTCATGTGTTCCTTTCTTTTTCCCATGAGAGACCTTCAGTTCCTCAGTCCTGATTTATAGACAGCTTTACCTTCTTTTCAGGCAGGTGTTAACGAAAATGATTTTTATGATGGTGCTTGGTGTGCAGGAAGAAATGACCCATATCAGTGGATTGAAGTAGATGCTCGAAGGCTCACAAAATTCACTGGAGTCATCACACAAGGAAGAAACTCCCTCTGGTCGTAAGTACATGTTTGCTTTTCTCCATCAGATTCTGAGCTTTCAGACCGAGGAATTTGTCTTGTGTTGTGGTTTGGTTCTTCAAGGAAAAAAAAGAAGGAGTGGAAATTATCTGACATGCAACAATTGAATGGAGGAACAGTAAGAGGCAAAGTCATTATATATGGTATAAAATACAAATTTGAGGATAGCAAACTTGTGTAGTTGTTATCTAACTCTGGAAAAGGAATAAAGATTCCCTCAGACTGGGGGCCTTTATACTCACCTGGTCCAATTTGCTCATGTCAAACTTTCTCACTCTTTTCCAACATTTAACTTGGTTAGTTTAAGTACTGCTTTTGGGGTTTTTATTTACTTTAGAATAACCACTCATCTTTGAGACTTCCTAATCCCTGGGCAATTACCAATTGGTATAATTCCAAAGCAACAAGATTTTTAAACAAGCAGTTAAAACAAACTTCATAGCTATACTTTTTTCTTCTAAAGAGGAATTTAATATAAGCAAAAAAACAAACCAGTGCTGTATGTGTTGACCAAAATTGAAGTGTTTAGTAGCAGACTGGTGTGCATTTCCTCCTTTGTGACCTGCACCCAGATGCTCTATAGCACAACTTCCCTCATTCATCCTGGCTGTATATGAGGGATGCAGCAGTCAGAGGGCAGGAACAGGATCTGGAGGTGATGATCTGGTTTTTTTCCCTGATCTTTACAATGTCTACTTAGTCTTTTAATTTTTCATTGTCTCACTGTGAGCAAATAATCTCACTTGTGCTGCTGGACCTTTTGACAAAGCATGCAGGGAATCCATTCTGGTCAGACCTCTCACTTAAGAGTGACATGTAATTAGAGACAAATCAGAAAAATCCCACTATATCTAAGAAAAAGAATAATTTTCTCTCTAGAGTTTAATTTTCTGTGGGATTTTTTTAATTCCTTTTAACATCGCTGTGGGAGTAGGAGCCTTTTGGGCAATAAGATCTCTATATTTATTCCACATTGTTCTGTAGGTAGATAATTACTGTGGCAAACTCTTATTCTCTTCTATATTCATTCTCTTGACATTGCTGTTTCTATCAACACCAGTGCTTCACTGCTTCATCCTGTTGTATTTCTATTTTTAGTTCAACTCTGTTGTGGGTTTACAGCAGGACTTGACACTATTTATAGTTGATATTCACAGTCATCTTGTTTTTGTTTGTTTGTTTGTTTGTTTGTGGGGGTTTTTCTATTGGTTTTTTCGTTGAGTTGTAGAAACATAGAATCACAGCATGGGTCAGGTTGGAAGGGACCTTAAAGATCAATTAGTTCCAACCCCCCTGTCATGGGCAGGGAGTTTCATTTTGCCCTTTTTCCCCTTAAAGACCCCTGAGGATCTCCAGGAAGAGCAGGATTGATGCTGGGAGTGCAGGTTCAGGCTCCTCCTGGATTTCTACTCTTATTTGAGGAAAACCAGGCCCATTTCTGCCTGACAGGAGCAAAGATGTTTTCACCTGGAGCAGCTGCACTGTGGGGCAGGTTAATGCCTCCTGGAAAACGTGTCCTGTAAGACTGAAATGTGCCCCATGGCTGGACCAGAGAATTGGGGAGAAATAGTCCCAGAAAGGGGTGACCTCATTCCCTACTTCCAGCTTGCACACAAGGGACAAAAAAGAGTGGCTTTTGTGGTGGCTTTTCCTGTCAGGGTGTGATTTCTCCATCCCACTCGGTGTCTCCTGATGCAGCTTTGGCAGTGTGACTGGCTTCCCTGGAATCCACCTCTTTTGCTCCCTCTCCTCCTCAGACTGAGCAGATGAAATCAATGCAGTCGATGTTTGTGTGCTTTGCTCTTTCATCTGTGTGTCCTCAGGTTTTAAAAATAGCTTGATAGTCCCCAAGGTACCAAAGTAGATGTTTGTGCTTTCAGAAGAGTTTAGGCTGATGTTTGCAGCCCTCACCTGAGCCAGGAGTGGTGTCCTGGAGGTTTCCTGAGTCTCAGTACCTGGGGACATCATACCCAGCAAGGTGGCAGATGCTGCTTTCTGAGCTGATCCTGTTGTTGCACATGAAAGGAGGGGATCCCTTAGGACTTTCTGTACCAATTCCTCCAGCAGCCAAGAAGGTGAGAGTAAAGGGGGAAAAAAGTGAAATTCTGTTGTGAAGAAGAGCTGTGCCAAGGGAAGTTCAATCCAGGCAACAGCAGAGATCATGAGCTTGGAGCAGAAACTGCCTTGATGGGGTTCAGAGGCACTGGTGGAAGTTTCAATACGTGTGGTAAATTTGGGAAACAGTGACCTGACTGCAGCCATAGGGGTTGCATGCAGTGAATTGACTCTTGTAAACCAGCCCAGGAAAAACAGTGGGGCAGGACTTTATTGGAGTGGGTAAGTTCCTTTGTGACTGTTTTCTCTAATGGGCACCAGAAACAAAGGAGAATCATCAGCTTCTTTCCCTTTACTCAGCTGCTGCCTGTGGTGGTATCAAAAAGGATTGTTTATGATATGAAAGTTTGTACAAAAAGATGCCATTCTGTTACCTGAGGCACATTCCCAACTTCTTGAGGGTATGTGACAAGAATAGAGTGCTTTCCTGACTGATGGAAACATATGTTGGAGAATAATCTTATTGTAGATAGGAGAGCCAAAAAACACCTCTCTGATCTGTGTTGTATTAAAAGCAAAAGCCTGCCAAGCAGGGGAGCCAAGGTAAGATCTTTATTTAGTCCAAAGCCTTGGAGACTTTCCCAACATTATATATTAAAAATAAAAATGAAAAATCAAGGCACTGACAGAGAGCAGGTTTAGATTGGCTGTTAGGAAGAAATTCCTCCCTGTGAGGGTGGGGAGGCCCTGGCACAGGTTGCCCAGAGAAGCTGTGGCTGCCCCATCCCTGGAAGTGTCCAAGGCCAGGTTGGATGGGGCTTGGAGCAACCTGAGCTAGTGGAAGGTGTCCCTGCCCATGGCAGGGGGTGGAAAGAGATGGTCTTTAAGATCCTTTCCAACCCAAACCCTTCTGTGATTCTATGACACAGGGATATATGCTCGGTTAACCAATGTTGTTATGTAACAGGGATAAAGAACCAGAAAATCAACCTTTTTTTCCTCTTTTTATTGAACAAGAAACTTTAACAAAATTAAAAAATGTACTTAACTGAAAGTCCTGTGTGAGCTTCTGCCTGAGTCAGGTTTATGCCTGTCCTGGTCCCTTTACTTTCTTGCTGCTGGCTAAAGGAGGACACGTGAAATCATGAGAGAGGACAGGCAAGGACACCCTGCTGTATCCTGGATCAAACAGCTTTGACCTTCACTGCAGGGCTGCAGCATTTGAGTTTTTAGCAGTCTGGCCTTTGCTTTGCTTTATGTGTGATGCTGTAGCCAGAGGTATTATACTGGTGGTGGATGCAGCCCTTTACTCCTTTATAGCAGCTCTGGCAACTGTAGCCTGGCTTTGCTGATGGGCCACCCCAACCAGTGACAGTCTATTCACACCCTGCCTGGCTTATTGGTTTTTTGAGCTTTATAGGCTATGATGACCTGAAGGTTACCCTTTACACAATGCAAAGAACAGAAAAACTCATGGAGTGGCCACTTTCTGCCTGGTGACTGGAGCTGCTTCTCCTCAATCTCACTTGGAAAGCTGCTATTCCTTGTCTTGTCTCCCTGTTGTGGCTCTGCTTGTCCATCCCAGACTCTCGTGTTTGAGACATGAGAGCCTTGAGGAGGAAGAGCTGCAGAAACAGCTCTTGAAAACACAGATGACCTGAAAGGAGAGAAGGAAACTGAGCTTGGTTTGTAATGAATACTTGAATTGTTTAATCATTTCCTTTCTAAGGAAAAACACATCAGAGTCAAATTTTTTGCTCAAGCTGCCTGGCTGTGAATTCTGGGATAGTCACATGAAATTAAATCTTTTTTTGCCCTTTTTTTTTTTTTTTTACTTGTAATAAGCAAAACCAAGCTTTCAACAAAAACTCCTGGATTTGAGGAGTCATTCCTTTTACCAGTTAAAGCAAGCACATGGACCTGAGGTACCTCAGTCATTCTTGGGAAACCTGAAATCATGGAAAGTGCTCTTTTACCACCACAAATGGCAAATCTGTTTAAATTATCCAGAAGATCTGCAGATGTTGAATTTCACAGAAAAAGTGAGGCCCAGCTGCAAGAACCGGAACTTCTTTTTGATTTTTTCACTGAAAATATCCAGAAGTCAGAAGTGCCACATGTGTTGGTTAATAGGAATAAAATCCAGTGCCTTGAAAATGGGCAGAGTATCAGTTCCTTTGTATGACTGAATATTTGGGGGACAAATATTATATGTAATTCTTCATATTGCTGCCAATACAACTCTCAGTTTTATAAACTAAGTATCTTTAGACAACTGTTCAAGGCTTTTGAGTGAGACACTGGATGCATCACTGTGGAATTGTGCCACATATTTAAAGGAATGATGTGACACTTTAAAATATGCACTCTCTTGACAGAGGGCAAGAAAATATTAACCACTCTTAGCAGTTTGGCAAGAATCTAAAAAGCAGAGGAAACATGTTTCCCACAAACCAAACTCTCTCTTGATAATTGAACATCATCTTTTGTATCAAGAGAAAACCCACATGTCTAAATAGAGTCAGTGTGTGCTGACTATTATAGAGCTTCAGGCTGTGTGAATGCAGAGGATGTTTTGGTTTTAGAAGAAGATGTAATGTTGCAGTGAGTAAAATACATGTGTGACAATGCATTTTCTTATAATTAACCTTTCAGTCATTAAATTATTCAGTATCATGGAATGACAAAATGACAACAATAAGAAAAAGCATGGATAAAATAATCTGTGCAGGATGCTTGAAGTCCAAAGCAAAATTCTGAAGTTTTCAGGAAAAAATCAAAACAGACTTAGTTTCCAGTATATTCTCTTTAAAACCTTTCAGCTCCATGAAAATATGGAGGACATTTTATGCAAGATATTTGTCTTTAGGGAAAAAAAATGGAAGGGGGAGGATCTTAATTTTTAAAGCCTGATTTGTGTAGAG